AACCGGCGGCTCGAGACCGAGGTCTGGTCCAAGGCATGGTGAACGCCTTGGTCTCTGTATTACTAAAACATTACAAAAATTTAGCGCCGATGAGATGTAGATGCGCGGGGCATCTATAGTCCCAGCCTACTCGGGAGGATGGAGTCAGGGAAGAATCACGCTTGACACACTGGGGAGATGGAGGTTTGCAGTGAACAGAGGATTGCATCATTGCACTCCAGCCTGGGTGAAGAGTGAGATAAAAAAAAAAAAAGTAATAAAGAAAGCTTTATAGGAAGATGTCAAGCAGGAATTTTGAGGGCAGTCGATAAAAAAGATTTCTCCCTTTCCTCTCTTCTCCCACTTGCCCTCCTATGAGTATCCACCCACATTTTGGTTGGTCACTAAACAGAGTTTGGGCCATCCTCATTCTACAGGAGAGGAAAAGAAATCTCAGCAAAGTTAAATATTTTTTCTAATGTCCACATAAATGATAAACGGTAGATTTGGGAAAGCAAGCCAAGATCTTCTTTCTTTCCATAATGCCCAATATTTCTCAAGGGTGCGGACTGTGATCACTAGGACTGAATCATAAGGGGGAGACGGGTGGGTGGCTTGTTGAAAATGCAGAGTTCCAAGGTACTTCTCCATACCTTTTGAAATCAAAATCTTTAGTGGTAGGCTTCAGGAATCTGCATTTTAAAATCTCAGGTAACTCTTACTTTACTAAAGTTGAAAAACCATTGTGCTTACGAACAGAACAGAGAAGAAGGGGATGAGATGAGGAAGTCCAAGTGGAGAAATCTATAATATACAAGGTAAGAAAAACAAGTTATATTTTGAGAGTGATGAGTAGTCTGGGGTTTTTGACCACAGGATATGTGAAAGGATATAGTAGGTGGATGAGGACTGGGAATGGTTGGATTATGAATGGCTTTAAAAAGGTATTGTTAAGGAGTTTTGGATCTTCGTCGTTTTTTTTTTTTTTTTTGTAGATGATGGGGACGTCATCAAAGATATTTTCTGAGATATATTATGTTATCTGTAGTCCCAGGTACTTGGGAGGCTGAGGCAGGATAATTTCTTGAATCCGGGAGGCGAAGGTTGCAGTGAGCCAAGATCGCGCCATGGTACCTCCAGCCTGGGCAACAAGATCGAAACTCCGTTTCAAAAAAAAGAAACTGAGGACAAGTTTGCTGAAGTAGGGTCTGAAACTATTATCATTCTAATTCTTATTAATCTTTTCAAGGAACAACATAATGAAACGACTAAAAGCCATCCAAAATACTGGGAAAGGCTATGAGGCCAGGAACCTCCACGTGATGCTGAGCAGACTTGATGACTACGGGAAAAAGGTGATGCAGGTCTGGACTGAGAAGCAGAAGTCTCTAGGGCAGAAACGGAATCAGTGCCTGAAGAAAATGATACATGTATTCAGCCAGGTAACTTGCTTTCCACTCCCTCTCTCCAGCATGTTGTAAAAACGTGAAAGTCGTAAGCTTTGTAAATGACATTTACTTGGAGACACTATGTTATATTACTTTCCTGGGCTGCTGTAACAAATTACCACAAACTTCACAGCTTAAAACAACAGAAATTTACTCTCTCACAGTTCTAGAGGCCAGAAGTTAGTGAAATCAGGGTGTCTGCCGGGTTGGCTCCTTCTAGAAGCTCTGAGAGGGCATTCTGTTGCATGCTTCTCTCCTAGATTGTGGTGGCTATGGGCAATCCTTAGCATTCCTCAGTTTGTAGCCACATAATTCCAATCTCTGCCTCCATCTTTCAAATGGCATTTTTTTTTTTTTTTTTGAGACAGTCTTGCTCTGTCTCCCAGGGAGTGCAGTGGCACTATTTTGACTTGCTGCAACCTCTACCTCCTGGGTTCAAGCGATTCTCCTGATTCAGCCTCCTGAATAGATGGGATTACAGGTGCCCACCACCACACCCAGCTACATTTTACATTTTTAGTAGAGATGGTGTTTCACCATGATGGCCAGGCTGGTTTCGAATTCCTGACCTCAGGTGATCCACCCGCCTCAACCTCCCAAAGTGTTGGGATTATAGGTGTAAGCCCCCATGCCTGGCCTGAGTTCTAATAATAAATATTACAAGCTGTGGTTCTAGAAACATTTTATATCTGTATATCCTTCTCTCTCAGCGTCGATTAGTTTATAAGATTAGTTTACTTGCTACTTTGGAAGGTACAGAGAGGCTTCTCATCAGATTCTAATCCAAATTATCATCCAAGTCAAACATATAAATTTTCCAGAACTGTTTTATTTTATTTTATTTTATTTTATTTTATTTTATTTTATTATTTAGTTACTTATTTTTGAGACAAGTTCTCACTGTGTCACCCAGGCTGGAGTGCAGTGGTGTGATCTGCAACCTCCGCCTCCTGGGTTCAAATGATTCTCCTGCCTCACCCTCCTGAGTGGTTGGGATTACAGGTGCCCGCCACCATGCCTGGTTAATTTTTGTATTTTTAGGAGTGACGGGGTTTCACCATGTTGGCCAGGCTGGTCTTGGACTCCTGACCTCAAGTGATCCGCCCACGGCAACCTCCCAAAGTGCTGGGATTACAGGCGTGAGCCACTGCGCCCGGCCCAGAACAGTTATATTTTAAATATTACAGCTCTTTGTAAAAAAAATGAATATGCTCCTTTTTTTGATTTGGCAAATATGGCCAATGTACGTAGAGTAAAGCAAGATGGGTTGGCAGCAACATGCGTTGTCTAACAGGAATCACAATGCCTAGGGCATTTCAGAGGAGGAATAAGAGTCTGGGGCCAGGGAAGCCAGAATCCAGAGGATGAGGTATGGGTATCAAGGTTTGGAGAAAGGAGACAAAAAAAGCAAAAGGGATAAGAGGTTAAATATAAATGAATACTTTGCACTGAATCAGCGTGGTGCTCAAGATGGCTAGCTCCGCTACCAGATTGTCTGGGTTCAAATCAGCCTAGCTACATACTAGCTAAGTGACTTTATGCAAGCTGCTTACATTTTCTGAGCCTCAGATTCTCCTGCTGTAAGACAAGGGTAATAATAACACATACCGCATAAGGTTATTACAAATACCAAATCAGCTAATATATGGAGAGGGCTTAGTTCAGTGTCTGACATTCAGTAAGTATTTAGTAAATGCTGGCTATCATTACAGTTGCATACTGCTTCACAGTTTATAAAGTGCTTCCATATACACTGTGTTTTACAATTCTCGCAACCACTCTGTGTTATTATCCCTGTTTTAGAAATGAGGAGAAAGAAGTGTAGATAAGCAACTATCCCAAAGTCTCACAGCAAGAAAATGAGAGGACCAGGATTTGAGCTTACGTAGGACCAAGGTTTTTATGTAGCAGAGCTGCCACCTCTTGAAATGACGCATGTTGGAGGTGGGTGGAGTAGGGAAAGGATTTGCAAATCCATGGAAAAGGAGGAGTCACAGTTTAGTGTAGGGCCAGCTCTGAAGACTCTTCTAAAGATTCTGTCTCTTTTCATGGTTTCCTTTTTCTGATCTATTTTTTTATAGCTCAAAAAGATATATGAATTGAATCTTAGTCAACCTATCCCCTTAATCATCGAAGAAAAGCAGATACCTGCCGCTACCACATTTGTTCAGAAGCCATTCTTAAAATTACTAGTGGAAGAAGACAGAACCTCTGACATATTCAAGAAATTTAGGTATGTGCTAGAAAGACTGATATTAAACTTTGTTTGGACGATATGTGGGACCTAATTTTTTTTCCCTGCCCAAGAACTTCCCTTTCTTCACAATTATCAAATGGTGCAATGGAGAGTCTAAAGGAGTATTAGGCCGGGCACGGTGGCTCACGCCTGTAATCCCAGCACTTTGGGAGGCCGAGGCAGGTGGATCATCTGAGGTTGGGAGTTCAAGACCAGCCTGACTAACATGGAGAAACCCCAGCTCTACTAAAAAAAAGTACAAAATTAGCCTGGCGTGGTGGCGCATGCATGTAATCCCAGCTAGTCGGGAGGTTGAGGCAGGAGAATCACTTGAACCTGGGTGGCTGAGGTTGCGGTGAGCCGAGATCGTGCCATTGCACTCCAGCCTGGGCAACAAGAGTGAAACTGTCTCAAAAAAAAAAAAAAAAAAAAAAAGGAGTATTAATTCCCTTAGCTAAGTTGGCATATATTTCTACTTAAATATTTAACATTGGATTTTGAGTTCCTCTAAAAATAAAGTAGAGTCTTTCTTACTAAAAAACTCATTCTTTTAAGAATAGTTAATAAAGAAACTTAGAAGCATTATCTTCTTTTTTTCTTCTATTTTTTTTTTAAGGAGGCAGGAGCTTTGGGAAGGAAGGGGGAAAGTTATGTGGTCTCTCTACACCATGAAGCTAAAATGGTAGTTGTAAAATGGATTACTAGGTGAAGTCATGAAAATGCAGCTTTGGTAACTCAGCAAATTCTGCTTTTTCATCCATCTCTGTCAGAGTGGGCATAGCTAATGCTGGTCAGTGCAAGGGGAGGGCATTACGGGATGAGGTGGTAGTGAAGAAGGGAGAATAAGATATATTTTGATGGGCTATGGAACTCAGGAGAATTTGGCATTCCCAACTTATGCTCTCTGATTCTGTAGACAACAAGAGGACCAGACACAGCCCATCTGGAATGTTGATCTGTCCACTTCAAGCTACCCAATAGCAGAGAAGACATCTATGCATTCACTCTGGGCCCAGCTGGGTGGGTACCCAGATATTCCCAGGCTGCTTCAGTTAGAGGTGCAGTCTACCTTCCGAAAATCTCTTGCATCCCTCCAGTCACAGTAAGTTATGGACTGGAAGCACTCTGGTAGTTGGGCCTTTGATCATATACCTTTTGGTTCCCTAACTTGATTTTCTCCTGTAGCACCACGTACAGGAGAAATTGGTACTACATCAACCAAAAGTAATGTTTGGTATGAGGTTAGACTGACACCAGTCATAAAATAGTACAGGTAAATTCAGCATTAGTCTGTTAGTGTTTCTCATCATAGGCCTGTAGATGTCATCACTGAGTAATATAAAACAAACAAAAAACCAATTATAATACCATGAACCTAATCTAACACTAGATAGGTCCATTTTTAATTCTATCCTTAGGGATTTGCTAATAGAAATACCAGAAAGACCATTGTAGAATGCTTTTCTCCATATTATGATTCAGTGACATGACCTTAAGTGCAATTATCATATCTAGACCCAAATTGAGTAAATTAGGTGTTTATTTCCTAGGGTATACTGAAGAGATGACTCCACATTTCCAAAATCTGTTGAACCAGATTCTCACTTACACCACTGGAAATTATTCCAGAGGAAATAAGGGCTTTGGAGTCTGCGTTAACTCTTTCAGGACAGATAATTATTTAATATTCAAAATCAGGAATTTAGAAAATTGAACTTTTGTTAATCTTAAAGACTTCACAGAAGCAGTCTGATTTATTCTGGTGAAATCTAAGTCCTGAAGTAAGAAGTAGTGTTAGGCTAGGTGCGGTGGCTCATGCCTGTAAATCCAGCACTTTGGGAGGCCAAGGTGGGTGGATCATCTGAGGTTGGGAGTTTCAGACCAGCCTGGCCAACATGGTGAAACCCTGTCTCTACTAAAATACAAGATTAGCTGGGCATGGTGGTATACATCTGTAATCCCAGCTACTCAGAGGCTGAGACAGGATAATTGCTGGAACCCAAGAGGTGGAGGTTGCAGTGAGCCCAGATTGTGCCACTGCACTCCAGCCTGGGCAATCAAGTGAGACTCTGTCTCAAAAAAAATAAGTAGTATTAATTCACAAATTTGTCCAGGTGGCAGACACCATAAAATAAGACATTTAAAATTCTATAATACAGCAAAATATTAGGAAAAATATTACTATTTGATGTATACAGTATAAAGTCATATATCATGAGCATAAGTTTATGGAAAAAAAATTATTAAACCAAATGTAATAATTAAGTTGAATAAGCATGACTCATAGGTTATAATCAGAAAGCAACATTTTTTCTGGTCTCCCGTTTTCCCTTTTATAGTGATTAAACTAATTAATTTAGGTTATTTTGAGGGATAATATTGCTAATTTAATGATTATAGGGCCTTGGGATGAAATACATAAATTTTTAAGTTTCACTTTCCTTACATTCCATTACTAGTTTCAAGTGTCAGATATCCTTCTGACCTAACCACTTCTTACTCATGCTAAATCTCTGCAGACTCTTATTTCCAGTTTACTATTTTATTTTTATTTATTTATTTTCAAGACAGAGTCTCCCTCTGTCATCCATGCTAGAGTGCAGTGGTGCAATCTCAGCTCACTGAAATCTCTGCCTCCTGGGTTCAAGCGATTCTCCTCAGCCTCCCCAGGTAGCTGGGACTACAGGTGCATGCCACCACGCCCAGCTAATTTTGTTTGTATTTTTAGTAGAGACAAGGTTTCACCATGTTGGCCAGGCTGGTCTTGAACTCTTGACCTCAGGTGATCCACCTGCCTTGGCCTCCCAAAGGGCTGGGATTACAGGCATGAGCCACCGTGCCCGGCCTGGATATGTTTTAAAACCTACTTTGAGGCCAGGAGTGGTGGCTCATGCCTATAATCCTGAACTTTGAGAGACTGAGGCAGGTGGATCACTTGAAGCCAGGAGTTCGAGACCAGCCTGGCCAACTTGGTGAAACCCTGTATTTACTAAAAATATAAAAAATTAGCTGGGCATGGTAGCACACACTTGTAGTCCCAGCTACTCAGGAGGCTGAGGCATGAGAATGGCTTGAGTCTGGGAGGCAGAGGTTTCAGTGAGCCGAGATCACGCCACTGCACTCCAGCCGGGGCAACAAAGACTGTGTCTCAAAATAAAAAATAAAATAAAATTTAAAAAACCTACTATATGTTTCATTAAACAGTACATCTTTGAAATTTTTCTATGCTAATAAATATAGAGCTACATCATCATTTTGTTGGTTGCATGATATTCATTGTATATCTGTAGTTTTTGTTTGTTTTTAAAGATGTGGTCTTGCTCTGTCACTCAGGCTACAGTGCAGTGGCACAATCATAGCTCAGTGTAACCTCGAACTTCTGGGGTCAAGTGATCCTCCTGCTTTAGTCTCCCAAGTAGCTGGGATTACAGGCACACCTGGCCCATTGTATAGATATATTGTAATTTATTGAATTGTTCTCCTACTGATAGAAATTTGGATATTTTCCTACATTGCAAACAATGCTACACCAAATATCTTTGCAGTACTTTGTATATTTATATAATTATTTTCCTATGAAAATTCCATTAAAATAATATTCAGTTTTTTCCAATTACATAAGTAATGCATGTTCACCAAAAATTTAAAAAATACAGACGGGTCTATCCTTGGAAATAACCATCATTAATTATCAATATTTAAGTCATGTTCTAACTTTAGGTATAAGAATACTGTCTAATAAGTAATAAGGTATTGCCAAGTCCTTTTCTTCCTGATTTTGGGTCTTCGAGGCATTCTGTCACCTTTATGGTAACTTTATGTATATGGATTACAGGCCAGTCACAGTGGCTCACACCTGTAATCCCAGCACTTTGGGAGGCCAAGGAACTCCTGAACTTAGATGCTTGAGTTCAGGAGTTCAAGACCAGCCTGGGCAACATGGCAAGACCCCAGTCTGTACCAAAAGTACAAAAAAACAGCCAGGTGCGGTGGTGTGCACCTGTGGTCTTAGCTACTTGGGAGGCTGAGGTGGGAGGATTGCTTGAGCCTGGGGAGCAGAGGTTGCAGTGAGCTGAGATGGCACCACTGTACTACAGCCTGTGTGACAGTAGGAGACCCTGTCTCAAAAACAAACAAACAAACAAACAAAAGGATTACATACAGATTTTACTAGTTTAACTTTGTGAGTTCTGGAGGCACTTTTATTTTCCCTATGACTCACCTATATTCCCACAAATGTGTTTAAAGCAATTTATAATGAGGTTAATTTTCTTGTTTCATTTCCAGGGTTAAGAAGATTCCCAAATGACTGTAAAATTAAATACAAGCATATTGAAAGTACATTTCGATATCTTTCAGTAAAATGCCTATTTTGTTCTCTTTTGTGCGTATATATTGCTTTGTGTTTCCTTTGCTTTTATATTCTGCCTGTAGTTCTTCAGGTTGAACATCTTCATTTCTGGACTACTACTATGAAGAAAGAGTATCTTCTGCTCTAGACAACGGGAAACACAAAGCTTCAACAACCCTGAGGTAGGCTGAGTCGTGAAAGGGACATAATTATGGTCCCCTAACATGATGGCAAAGTGGCACAGTCTGCCTCCCCCAGTCTAAACCGGAAGACACCTCAGAAGGAAGAAATAAATGAGTGTAATGAAGGAAACTAAAAACCAGCAAAAACCCCAGAAGAATTAGAAGGTGGTTATGATTGGTAATGAAGAGAAATCATGTTACCACCAGAGGGTTGTGACTACAAGTTGTCCAGGTTTTTGGCATTTTGAACAAAGAATTGGGCAAAACGCCCAGCAAAGCAAAGAAAGAATGAAGCAACAGAAGAAGTATGCTCCACAGCGCAGGAGTGGCCCAAGCAGCTGCTCAAGGGCCCTGATACAGAATCTTCTTGGGTCCAAATACCCTCTAGAAGTTTCCTATTGATCACTTCATGCTCATCTCATGTAAATAAAGGGGCAGCTTGCAATCAGTCCGATTGGTTGCAGCAAAAAGCACCCAATCAGAGGCTAGGGTAAAGTTACAAACTTATACTTCTTCTTCTTTTTTTATTTTATTTTATTTATTATTTTTTTATTTGAGACAGAGTTTCGCTCTTCTTGCCCAGGCTGGAGTGCAATGGAGCAATCTTGGTTCTTGAACCTCCACCTCCTGGTTTCAAGCGATTCTCCTGCCTCAGCCTCCCGAGTAGCTGGGTTTACAGGCATGCATCACCACGACTGGCTAATTTTGTATTTTTAGTAGAGACAGTGTTTCTCTATGTTGGTCAGGCAGTCTCGAACTCCCGGCCTGAGGTGATCCACCTGCCTTAGCCTCCCAAAGTGCTGGGATTACAGGCGTGAGCCACCACGCCCGGTCTCAAAGTTATACTTTAATGCAAACAAAGACTGGCCTGCAATCAGTCTGATTCATTGAGGACAGCCAATTTCCCATCTGCCTCACAGAGAAAGGTCAAAGGGAGTAGCCTCTGGTCCTTTTGTTTCTTAGGTGCGTGGAAAGTTAGCGGTTTCCTTTCCATTTAGTTCTAGGAAGTTGGCGTGCAGCCTTTAGGTTTGCTGCCTCCAGACCCTATTGTCCTTCCTCAATAATTCTGTACAATGGAGGTCCAGGCTTCCAACATGGGGATTATATTAGTCAGGCTTCTCTTAGAGGGATAGAACTAATAGGATATATATAAAGGGGAGTTTATTAAGTATTAACTTACACGATCAGAAGGTTGCACAATAGGCTGTCTACAAGCTGAGGAGCAAGGAGAGCCAGTCCAAGTCCCAAAACTGAAGAACTTGGAGTCTGATGTTCAAGGGCAGGAAGCATCTGGCATGGGAGAAAGGTGTACACTGGGAGGCTAGGCCCATCTCTCATCTCTCTCCTTTTCACATTTTTCTGCCTGCTTTATATTCAGTGGAAGTTGATAAGATTGTGCCCACCCAGTTAAGGGTGGGTGGGCCTTCCCCAGCCCACTGACTCAAATGTTAATCTCCTTTGCAACACCCTCACAGACACATGCAGGATCAGTACTTTGCATCCTTCAATCCAATCAAGTTGACACTCAGTATTAACCATCACAAGTCCACTCCTTGTCAACTTGAACACATCTCCTGAGAGCATACATAATCTTCAAATAAAAACAATAATGTCATAATTACACTTCACTTAACATAATACGAGTATCCCTTGTACAACCGGAAAGGCACTGATCCCCGACCCAAATCCTATTACATAAAGTTAACAATACTTAAATACTGATATGAAGTCAATAAATCTTATGTCACATGATAAAGGAAAAGGAAATAAAATGAAAATAGTTTCTTAGTGCAAGTATATACACACACAAACGTGTTTTTAACAAAAGAAGGAGGAAATACTTATGACAGTTATAGCCCTCATTTCTGCAGCTGGTCACATGGTTGTAGCTGGTATTGATGACTACCTTCTTTTACTACCCATTCTGTACTCCCTTTGCCTTCAGCAAACACCTCAGCAGGTCATGGCTTTTTTCCTGATGGAGTAACCTATACCTTTATTCTTGAAGGATCTGGACCATCTGTAGTCCTGCCTGGATTGGACTATTGTAGTTTCCCATTGACCTTAATCACAGGTCATGGAAATACGAAGAGATGCCCTAATGGATCTCCTGTATCCATGCATACTCTTCCTTATCTCCATTGTGGAGTAGTAGACTGATTTCAGATTTCATCTTGATAGTCCGGGTCAGTCACCCCAGCCAACATTGTAACTCCCTGTTGACTTAAAGGTAGGAGGAGCCCAAAGTGTCCAGGTGGCAATCTTAACTTCCAGTTTAATGGAATCGTTGTTCTGTCTCCTGATGGCAGCATTCTTCCCTCTGGAACTAAGACCTCTAGGCCCAGCAGAACATAATGTTGTGGGAAGAAGAGGCAAAAATTTTGCTAGTGTATCACTAGGGGTGATGGTGAGTGGTGCCACTTCCACTTCCACCTTGATTCCTGGACCTGTGAATCTTAATTATGGGAGAATCAATCCCATATATTGGACACTGATTCAGAGCATACATGGCCTTTTGGAGAATTTTGCCCCAGCCCTGCAAAGTATTATCACCTAGTTGGCAATATAATTGTGACTTCAAAAGGCCATTCCACCATGCTCTCAACCCAGCTGCTTCAGGATGATGAGGAACATGGTAACACCAGTGATTTCCATGAGCATGAGCCCCCTGTCGCATTTCTTTAGCTGTAAAGTGAGTGCCTTGGTCAGAGACAATGCTGTGTGGGATACCGTGATGGTAATAAGGCATTCTGTGAGTTCACAGATGGTAGTTTTGGCAGAAGCACTGCATGCAGGATAGGCAAACCCATATCTGAAGTAAGTGTCTATTCCAGCGAGGACAAACCTCTGCCCTTTCTATGATGGAAGCGGTCCAATATAATCAACCTGACACCAGGTAGCTGGCTGATCACCCCGAGGAATGGTGCCATATTGAGGGCTCAGTATTGGCGCCTCTGCTGCTGGCAAATTGGGCACTCAGCAGTGGCCATAGCCAGATCAGCCTTGGTGAGTGGGAGCTCATGCATAACCTCCAGCCCTGCCACCATGGCCACTTTGTTCATGCGCCCATTGGGGGATAAGAGGGGTGGCTGGGGAAAGAGGCTGAGTGGTGTCCACAGAATGGGTCATCCTATCCACCTGATTATTTAATTCCTCCTCTCCTAAGGTCACCCATTGGTGAGCTCACATGGGATACAAATATCTTCACAGTTTGTGACCACTCAGAGAGGTCCATCCACATATCTCTTCCCCAAATTTCTTTGTCACCAATTTTCCAATCATTCTCCCAAGTCCCTGACCATCCAGTCATTGGCTACAGCCCATGAATCAGTATATAATCACACACCTGGCCATTTCTCCTTCCATGCAAAGTGTACAACCAGGTGCACTGCTTGAAGTTCTGCCTGCTGGGAAGATTTCCCTTCACTGCTGTCCTTCAGGGATGTCCTAGAAAGGGGCTGTAGTGCTGCAGCTGTCCACTTTCAGGTGGTGCCTGCATATTGTGCAGAACCATCTGGAAACAAGCCCTAGTCTTCTCTTCCTCTGTCAACTGACCATAGAGAACTCCCCATGAGTCCACCAGTGCAGGCTGGGGGAGAGAAGGCAGGGTGGCAGGAATGGAGACCATGGGCATTTGAGCCACTTCCTCATGTAACTTACTTGTGCCTTCAGGACCTGCTCGAGCCCAATCATGTATATACCACTTCCATTTGATGATGAAATGCTGCTGTGCATGACCCATTTTAAAGCTAGATGGGTCAGAAAGCACCCAGTTCATGATAGGCAGCTCAGGTCACACGGTGACTTGATGACCCATAGTCAAATGCTCAGTTTCCACCAAAGCCCAGTAACAGGCCAAGAGCTGTCTTTCAAAATGAAAGTAGTTATCTACAGAAGATGGCAGGACCTTGCTCCAAAATCCTAGAGACCTCTGCTGTGATTCACCCGTGGGGCCTGCCAAAGGCTCCAAACAGCATCCCTATCTGCCATGGACACCTCAAGCACCATTTGATCTGCTGGGTCATATGGCTCAAGTGGCAGAGTAGCTTGCACAGCAGAATGGACCTGTTGCAGAGCCTTCTACTATTCTGGAACCCATTCAAAACTGGCAGCCTTTTGGGTCACTCAATAAATGGACCAGAGTAACACACCCAAATGAGGAATGTGTTGCCCCCAAAATCCAAATAGGCCCACTAGGCATTGTGACTCTTTCTTGGTTGTAGGAGGGGCCAAATGCAACAACTTATCCTTCACCTTAGAAGGAATATCTCAACAGGACCCACACCACTGGATCCCTAGAAATTTTACTGAGGTATAAGGTCCCCGAGGTTTAGTCAGATTTATTTCCCATCCTCTGGCACACAAATGTCTCACCAGTAAGTTCAGTGTGTTTGCTACTTCTCGCTCACCAGATCCAATCAGCATAATGTCATCAATGTAATGGACCAGTGTGATATCTTGCAGCAGTGAAAAGCGATCAAGGTCTCTATGAATAAGATTATGACACAAAGTCAGAGAGTTGATGTACCCCTGAGGTAGGACAGTAAAGCTGAAGGCAAATTGCTTCTGGTGGGCTTTATGGACAGTCAATGGCTGCATACCAGGTACTAGGAGACGTGTTAATTTGCTCAAACAATGAAACAACATCTGGTACAGCAGCTGCAATTGGAGTCACCACTTCATTAAGCTTATGATAATCCACTGTCACTCTCCATGATCCATCTGTCTTCTGCCTGTGCAAATTAACACATATCCTAGTACCTGGTATGCAGCCAT